AAAAAAAAAAAAAAAAAAAAAAAAAAAAAAAAAAAAAAAAAAATTTATTGTAGAGACAAGATCTCGCCAAATTGCCCAGGCTGGTCTCGAACCCCAGACTCAGGGAATCCGCTTGACTTGACCTCCCAAAGTGCTGGGATTACAGGCTGAGGCACCGAGCCTGGCCCCAGCATGTTTTTAAGATCATCTTCAGGTCCAACTTGGGGTCAGGCGTCACTGGCCACCCCTGGGGTGAAGACAGCTTAGTCTTCTGTTCAGACTTTCCAGGTGAACACTGGTTGTGGAGAGTGAAATCAGGTGGCAGACCCAAGAGAAGGGGCATGGAAGGGAGCTCCTCTCCAAGACAGAGGCTGACTGAGCTGTAAGAGGACCCCTGGCCTGGGAGAACAGGCTTGGAGTAGCAAGGCTACCAACTGCCTGCCCACCAGCTGGTCCGAGGACAGGGGAGGGAGGCAGCTCCGAGCCCTCAGCGAGCCCTCACCTGGTGTGGGAGCCTGCTCTGTCCTGCCCTTCCACAATGCTGCGTAGCCATCCTCGTGTTTGTTGAATGCCACGAGCTGCACCTCGTACAATCGGCCGGGGACTGGGAAGGTCACAGGGCTCAATGCCAGGAGCACCTCTGGACCTTTCCCATCCACAGAGGATATTCCATCTCTAACCCCGGCAGTTTGCTCCCCCCAACCTCCACCCCCAAGCCCTCCTCACCTAGCTGGGTCAGTTCATACTGCTTCACCTTCTTCTTGAGTCGGATGGGCCCCACATCCCATGTCTGGTCTCCACGGCCCCCTGGGGGATGACCCCCATTGGCCTCCTCCTCGGCCCCCACCTCCCGCCAGTACAGTTTGTAGCCAGAGATCTGGGTGGGGTGAGGGGGCAGCTGCCAGGATACCAGCAGGGACTCCATCCTTGCCTGTACCTTCAACTCTGCAGGGGCAAAAGGGACTAGGGGCAGAGGGTAGGGTGAGACGATGAGAATAGGGGCGAGGAGGAGGCCAGGGTGGGGGAGAGAAGTCAGGAAGAGGTAGGAAGATGGCTTAGCGAGAGGCATGCCAGTCCCCGACAAATCGTCACTCGGTCACCATCTAAGCCAGGCCTGGTTGGGCTAGAGGTGAACTTGCTGTTCTACAAGCACAGAACTCAGGGATGCAGAGGTGTCTCCTGGGCGTCTGTAAAGAGCATCCGGGGCAGGGTGCTCTGACATGGAGCAGGCCTCTGTCTCCTGAATGAGCGAGCACAGGCCCCGGGGTGGCTGAGATGGGAGTGGGGAGGGGCCCAGGGGCTCGCTGTGCATCAGACACTGCTCTAAGCACTTTGTATGGTACACCTGTATCCTCAGTCCTCCACAGCAATGAAAACATTACTGTGCCCACTCTACAGATGAGAACACGGAGGCTCAAAGAAGTGAAGCAACTTGCCCGATGTCACACCAACAGTATGTGTACAGGTGTATCTGTGCTCACTCTGCTATTGGGCCTCTCGTCAAAAACAGCAACCACCATCATCCCGGAAGCAGTCACCACCGAGTGAGTTGTCACTCTGCACTGAGCACTTGAGCACAGTATACCATGGCAGGAATGCAGCCCCCAAGGTGGGCGTGGTCTGTCCAAGGCTGCACAGCAAGTAGAAGCAACACCAGGGTGCACCCTTTGCCTCTGCACCCGGGTCCCTAGCCCATGGGTGAGCCATGGAAGGATGCTGATGGGGCCCTGCTTTCCAAGGACACATTTCCCCATGGTCACATGCACCACCCGTCCACTCCAAACCCATACCATGGCTCTGGTTGTACACACTGGACATCCTATGCTGCACCCACGGGGATGGTGCCCCGAAGCCTGCCCCTGTGCCTGCCGAAATCCGAACTCGGTACACCTTGTTAGGCTGAAGTGAGCCCAGCATCAGCTGTGTCTCGTTGCCCTGCACCTCGGTGGAGAATGTCTGGTCTGCAAGGACAGAAGAGGTGGCTGCCAGGCGGCCACTGCAGACCCCGACATCAAGTCCCCTACCCCGACTCTTCCCCTCAGACCCTGCTCCTCAGGTCCCCTGTGAGCTGTCAATGGCCTCCACACACACGGGAGCAGGCACAGGGCTGGACTGAAGGCCATCAAGCTTGGCTTCCAGAGCCTTCCCACCCTCTCATCCCTCTTCACCATCTCCCAACCCTTCACACCTTCCCTCCCCGTCTCAGATTACCCACATCTGCCCTCACAAACCCGGGTGCCTCAGGTTTCCACGCCCACAAGCACACCTTTCTATCTCCCCATTTCTCTCTGCTTTGGGGGCTGGAAGGGACTCCAGATGTTACCCAGGCTACCTGCCTTATTTCCTAGATCAGGAAACTGAGGCAGGGACACAGGGTCACACACTGCAGCTGTGAGATGTGGGCTAGAGCCCAGGTCTCCTCAGCCTTGAGTCAGTCAACTTGTCTTCCCTCTTTTTTTTTTTTTTTTTGAGTTGGAGTCTCACTTGTCGCCCAGACTGGAGTGCAGTGACCGCTCCCGGCCACCGCAGCCTCGACCTGTTGGGCTCCAGCGATCCTTCCACCTCAGCCTTCCGAGTAGCCAGAATTACAGGCACGTGCTACCATGCCCAGCTGACTTTTTTATTTATTGTAGAGATGAGGTCTCACCAAGTTGCCCAGGCGGGTCTCAAACCCGCAGGCTCAGGCAATCCACTCACCTCAGCCTCCCAAAGCACGAGATTACAGGCTGAGCCACCAAGCTCGGCTATGTCTTCCCTCTTTACTCCCGCTGACTCTGCCCCAGCCAAGCCTCTCTCCCAGGGTCACCCGCCCCTGTCCCCCCACTCTGCCTGGGACTCCAGGTCTCCGGCCCACCGCCCTGCGCCTGCCACACTCACCTTCCCTTCCAAGACCATACTCCACCCGGTACTTCACCACTTGCCCATTGCTCAGGCCAGGGGGTAGGGGCAACCATGCTACCCTGAGGTCTGAGGGGCTGGGGCTGGACAGCAAGAGCTGCGGGGCCATGCTGGGAACTGAGACAAGAGCATCATGTGAGTGCCATGCCTGCCATGGATGGGAGGCCAGGGCCAGCCTGCCCACATCCCCCAAGGGTCAGCAGTGGGCCAGGACAGGGTCTGAAAGAGGAAAGGGAGCCTCTTAGAGACACCATGCCCAAGGGCGAGGGGCATACTTCCCACCCAGAGGCTGAACAGAACCTGAGTCACCATCTTCCACATAGGGCTCATATCACTGGCTCCACCACAGTTGGACAGCATGTGCTTGTCTGGGAGAAGGACCATGTGACACAGGGACTCACAAGGCCTGGTTTGTGTCCCAGCTGCACTGCTGACCTTGGGCAAGTCACCCTCATTTTCTAGGCCTCAGTTTCCCCAACTATGTACTGGAGAGAAGAGTGCCTGCCCACTCGCTTACAGGGCATGCAAGGTGACAAGCACAGGTAAAGTTCCTCAGGTGAGTGAGGAGAAGGTGAGTGGTCACCCCAGGGAGCTCCCTGTGCCCCAAGCCACCCTGAAAGCCCCTAGCCCTACCATCCTCTAATGTGTGTGCCCACGCAGGGGTGGAGGCGCGGCTGGCCCCGCGCTGGGAGTAGGCCACCACATAGAACTCATAGTCCGTGTTGGGTTCCAGGTCCCGCACCTGCAGCTCAGTGGTGTCATTGTTCACAGCAAACTGGTATTCCACATTGTCAATGCCTGGTGACACAGAGACAAGGGCCAGCTACAGGATCCCCTCGTGGGCCAGCTGGAGCCTGTCCAGGAAATCTCTTGTTGTCCCTGAGTTGATGGCAAGGCCATCCAGATCATCTGACTGGAGAGTATAAGCTTGTCTCACTGCATCTATTCTCCCACCAGGTGGAAGTTCTTTCTGGCATCTCCCTGAAATGACTTACCCTGCCACTAGTTAACTGGGGTGGAAGGTGGCTCAGACCATCAAGGCATCCTCTCCTTTCTATCTCAAGACAACTGTGACCCAGGGGAGCAGTGCCACACACCCACCCTTGACCCCAGACTGAGGACCTCCGGCACCACTGGGCTCCTGTCTGCGGGATCCTGTCTCCCTGCCAACCGCCCCCCCACCCCACTGGCCAGTGGACATACCCTGCGCCTTCTGGTAATGCAGTGAGAAGCCGATGATCCGATCGCTGTGCAGCTCTGGTCGCTCCCAGGCCACCAGCACCGCAGAGCTACTCAGAGGCGTGGCA